ACTATGTATAATTAGTTTTTAAATTTAAATAGTAATATTTAATATAATAAATTTTTAAATTTAAAATTTTAATTTTAATTTTTAAATATAAATTATAATTATAATTTTTTTAAAAATTGATATCAATACACACTAATCTTATATTTTAAAATCACATAAAAATTATTAATTTTAAAGTGTATGAAATGAAATAAATTATTTGAGTAATTTAAAAGAAAAAAAAAAGGTTCGGTAAATAAAAATAGAAAGGAAAAAAAGTGCTAAATGTGACTGAGGAAGAGCCGCGTGTTGTTTCCTTGATGCCTTCATATAATATATAACCTCTTCTTCCCCTCCATTCTTCAATCCAATTCCCCCATCCCAATTTCTCCGATTCCGATTCTCTTTCTCCGGTCATCTAATCCAATCTCGGAATCTCCTCCTATACTCCATTGATTCTCTCCTCTAGTTTCGTTTCATGGCTTCTTTGATATCATCCGATCCCGATACGTCGCCGGAATTGAACAGGAAGAAGCGGAAGAGGTCGACGGTGGAAACAAACTCTTCGATGGAGAAACATAGAAGTAAGCGGTGGAGAACCGATAAGGAGCAGCAGATCTACTCCTTGAAACTGTTCGATGCTCTCCGTGGATCTCGGAGGAGCGGGAGAGAAGTCCGGGTAACGGCGGACAGAGTACTCGCTGTTTCGGCGCGCGGTGCGACGCGGTGGAGCAGAGCGATACTGACGAGTCAACTCGGTGGTGGTGCGAGCCTGAGGAACCACAAAAAAGCAAAGGTGGTCACTGGAAATGGAAAGCTGAAGAAGCAGCCGGCGGCGATTAAAAAAGAGAATAGGAGATTACCGGCGGTTGTGAGGAGGGTGAAGGTTCTTGGCGGGTTGGTTCCCGGATGTCGGAAACTGTCTCTTCCAAATCTTCTTGAAGAAGCTACAGATTACATAGCGGCGTTAGAGATGCAGGTCCGAGCTATGACTGCACTCACCCAGATCATCGGCGGTGGAGGCGCTGCGCCTCCGCCGGCTGATCACCAGCTTGGCTCTTCGTAAAAATCGTGAAAAGGTGTTATTATTATTTTTTAATTATTTTTATTACTTTCTTTTTAAAACTTTGTTTTTTAGTGAGAAGATTTTAAAATTTTATGTATTTTATCGTGTACATGGCTTTTCCCATCTTCCACTTGCTCTTCTTGTTAATTATTATTTTTATTTTCATTAAATTGCTATTTTGGTTCGTTAAACATCATTTAATTAATTAATTAATCAATCAATCAATGACTAGAACACCCCAACTAAATTTGATTCTTAATGTCATGATAGATTAAAAATTTATAACTGTAATATTTCATTAAATGAATAGATGTATACAATATTTGTAATGTTTCATTAAATGAATAGATGTATAGAATATTTAATTATTTATGAGATTATTTGAGATGAAACTTGGATTTATATTCATGGACAAAAGCAAATGGATATGTGAGGGAGGGAGGGATGGAGATATTTGTGAGATGAAATGGGGGGAGGTGGTTTGAGCGAAGGGCCAAAAGGGAGCAAGTAAATGAGGAAGAAAGAGCCTCAAAAAACATGTGCCCTTGATGGCTATGGGCCTACTCTTCTGAAGAGCCACCGACCTCATTGCCCCACTCCCACAAATGCCTTGCATGTGCACCTCAACTGTAGGGATACACAAAGATATCCTTCACATGAGCATTTAAGAATTGGGGAGAGAGGAATGACTTTCTTTTCACATTTTTTTACACCCAAAGAAACCCTTTTTGCTTTTCTCTTTGTGTGAGTTTGAGTGAAAACTCAAATCTAAGTTTTGAATAGAACATAGTTTGGGTCTAAGTTTTGAACATATATAATATATAATAGAATTTAGTTTGTCTTTTAAGTGAAGCAAATATTGCTTCTTCTTTCTTTTACAAAAGAGGGGAGGGGAACGCTTCATGTCGGATTGTAAAAAGTTAATCATTGATTTTAGGGGAAAAAGGTCTCATGTTTAAGGACCCTCTCTCATCAATGATTATTGTTATAAAATTCACATTAGAATGAATTGCACAATACTTTTTAAAAAATGAGATTCAATTTACATCTTTAACACCACCATCAAAAACTTTACCAACTTATGAATTGTAGGTCGACATATTTGATAGAATTTGGCAATTAAATTTACTTCTACATAGGTCTATAAATAAATTGAAGTTTCAAGATTATGGTCTTGAAAGCAAATTAAGGTTTTGAATAGAGAAGTCCATCAAATGTGGAGGAGGCAGATGATAGTAACTCACAGGGCTCTCAAATGTCAGTTCCCATTTAAGAGCCAACACGTGTGCTTTATAACATGGACAGCCAAATTTTGTCTGATTTTGTGAGGGATTCGTTGGGACAGGGTAGGATGCCTAGGGGGCATCCCTATCAAGACTTGGTCACAGTTGGGTGCTGGAATAAAAAAGACCACAAAATTTTCCTCTTTCTTTTGTGGGTTTTCCCTCTTTAACGCTCACATTTTTCATTGGCTTTTACTTTTCCTAATTGACCCATATTTTCACATGCATCCATGTGCCTTCATTAAAGAACAACTCTTCTTTTAGGTTCTAAGTGAAATATAGCAAAGAATAGATGTTAACCCTTTGGATGAGTGTAATATATAAACTTATTGAATTAATACACAATGGTTTTACACAATCTATTTGAAATGAAAATAAAGAGATTTTTAGCCTATTTGGTTTGTGAAAAACGACTTCATTTTAGAAAATATTTTTCATAAAAAATATTTTTTTTCAAAAATTATTTTTGATATTTGAAATACTTTGAAAAGCTTTTTTGGAAAAATATTTTTCATTGTTTGATAAATTATGAAAAATTTTCAATTTTTAAAAAATAATATTAATTAATTAAATATTATATATTCATTTAAACTAAACATTAAAAAATAATCATACACACATTTTTGCTAACATGCAAACAGAACAACAAAAGAAGTTTTTAAAAAGGAAAAAAAGAAAAGAAAAGAAAAGAAAAGAAAATGGTGAAAGAAAGGACCAGAGAGGGATAGCTCATGTGAGACCAAGAAAACGAGCTTGGACTACATGAAATCGAACAGATTCGGTTGTGGAAAATAACTTCTAAAAACATTATTTGGACTAGAAAAGGTAAAGAACATTTTTCATTGACTTGAAAATGTTTTTTTATTGACTTATTTTCTAAGAAGTTAACAAACACAATAAAATACAAAAAATTATTTTCTAAAATTATTTTCCGGCATACTAAATGGACTCTTAAATATGAAATCTCTTAAAATCTCATCTTATTCTTTTACCTCTAAAAAAAGATTTCAATATTTGACACGATTTACATGCATGTACAATAACATTCATGTTCAATGACATATATACACATACTAACATGATGAAGGAAGCAAAAAGGTGCCACATCAAGAAATTTGGTCCACATATATTAGGTAGAGACTAGGAATGAGTTGCCCTACAAGCTATCTAAATGTAGCAAACTATGCAAGGACTTTAGGCAGGTGCCCTTACATCTTCATGGATTTAAAATCAAAGGAGTGTTGAGTATAGGTAAAATGATGAGAATAATAATAGTGTGAGTTAGGCAAATGGGATTGTCCCTTTCGTTGTAGGGCAATATGCCAATATGCAATGCAAATATGTAGGGGAAGGATTTTGTGAAACAATATTGCGCCTTTATTTAGATGATTTGTGTTTAAATCAAATATATGATGCATTCATCGAATAAAAAAAATTAAATATATGATTCAACATAACCTTTTGCCTTAAATTGTTAAAATGTTTTTTTTTAATTACACCATCTGTTTTAAAAAAATGTTATTTTTTAATTTTTAATTTGTTTTAAATTAATTGTTATTTTTTATTTGTTAAGGTATGAAACTTTTTTTTTTTTACTTTGACACTATCATTATCTATTCACTTTAATTAATCATCTAATCACTAATAATCTTTTTGTCTTTATTTTTTTCAAAGGAATTATAGATAAATATAAATATTATTCTTAAAATTTTAATTTAGAGAAAAAAAATAAAAACGACAATTATTTTAAAATAGAAAGGGTATTATTTTAAAGAATTTATCTAATTTGTATTGTATCATAATGACACAAATTAAAAATGTAATAAATATAGTTTTTGTAATTAATATAAATAAAAAATTATAAAAATTAACATTTATTTTAATATCATTCACACGTGAATTATTTTAATTAATTAATTAATTCAAAATCAATACTTATCTTTTTCA